TTTAATATAAAAATAAAAATTATTTCTTATTAAAATTATAAATTTTAATATAGAGAGAAAATTTCAATTTTCACTATTTTTTATTAATAAATTTAGCCTCTGAGTTATTACTTTTGGTCATCACTGTATGTTTTATTAATAAATTTAGCTCCTGATGCATTACTTTTGATCACCACTGTAGTAATAATTAAAAATAATAATACTTGAATTTTTAATAATTATAATTAGTAAAACATATATTTTTTATTATATATAAAAGTTTTTTAATTTACTTTTATTTTATTATTTTAGTTTAAAATAAAGTCAAAATTTGTGAATGCTTATTGGTTATTGACAAAAATTTGTGTATTCCAGATTAGGAAATTTGAAATCCATCGATTATAAGGCTTTCGCCATGGCTAGGGTATTAGAAAATAGAAAATGTCAGAATAGATCATCAGGTGATTTATTATGTCTCGTGCACAGACTGTATTAAAATGTACATATTCCACAAATTCATGCGTCAGGGTTCTGCGCTTTAGAGCAGGCCGAATCTATTGTTTAAAAACCTTAATTGTATCAGGAAACAAAAAAATAAAATTCTAATGTAATTTAGCTTTGAGCTTTTATTAACTAGATTTTTTTTATAATTCAAAACCTCCTTTTGCAGAATATTCAAAAAGTTTTTGATACAAGATTTCGCGCATTCCTATCGATATCTTTATTTTCGCACGGGCCATTGATAAGGTCCTTTTCTTACCATCTGTGTGTTATCAGATCACGTGTTATATGTAGCTGGTTGCATGTATATAAAGTCGTAGATCACAATCCACAATTAATAAATTAGTATTTTTTTCATATTTATATATCAAAAAGCGAATATCAGAATTAACAACTTTGGCAAAGTAGTGTTCATTGATCGGCGTGTAGGTTATAGATATGTAATTGACAATCGTGTTGTTTCGCAATGGTGGCTTTACTATATGTATAGTGATAGTTTGCTATCTTAACGATCAGCATATGTATAACTAATAAATCGCGTTGTTTCCACACCCATGTAGCCGTCATGGTTTGAATAGTTCATCACTTTGTCCTTGTCCGTCTCTGTCATTGTTTCTCCGACTAAAACATGTAATTTTGAAAGATCAGTGTTTGATTAAATTATTAAATCCTTATAAATCTTTAATTATGAGGAAAATCTATTTATCAATGAATCTATTATTTATGAAATTAAAGCTTTGTTTTTACACGCTATGTAGTTAAAATTCCCTATGAATAGCAAATTTTCGTTGTCATTTTGAAAATAATGCGTGAGAACAAGTAATACATGAACAATAAATGAAAAACGTAAGAGCGATGAAAATGTTGAATACGTGCAAAGATGCATTGATTAAGAGTAGAACTAACGGAAAATATTGTTTTACAGTATGCATATCTATCAGTTTCTTATAAAGATGCATCAAATAAAATTTTGAGGAGGCTTATTGCTAGCCAAGCAGAGTGAACTGATGCTCATTTAACGCTGAATTTTTGGATATTTGATTTTGGCCATAAAAAAATTTTATCCGACAAAGTTATTGAGATAATACTTCTCTTCCCTCTAGAATCATTTAATAATGATATCTGCATCTATGTGAATTTAATTCAGATTGGACACCTTGGAGGCGTTGTTCTAAGGTACGCATGTATTCATTGGCCGCTTGTTCTAGTTGCTCGCATTTATTCGCCAATTGGATCACTACGGCATCAAGTACATCTTGATATCTTTCGGGTGAAATCTTTTTGATATCAGAAATCTAAAAGAATTTTTTTTAAGTTTTAAGGTTAAATTCACAATCATAAAAATTTAAAAGATGTAACCTTTGTTGCAAGAGTCACAGGCGGGATCAACGGGAATTCGACATTTTGAAATATATCCTCTTGAATTTTGGCAGCAGTCTCGGATTTTTTAGAGTTAAACCAATTGATCGCAAGAAGAAACTTTTTTGTTTCTTGAATATTGTTCTAAATTGATTTTATTTATTTTATTAATATTTTTTAGGTATTAAAAATAAATTTCAACATATGATCACCTTGTTAGTAGAATAAATATTTTCCATAAGATAATTGAAAGAACCGAGTGATAAATTTCCCATGTTGAATGTACTAAAATCGCTCTCATGTAGCGCATCTTTGTTTTCAAAGAATTTAATGCATTTTTCGGCAGCTTCATCATAAAGATCCTCCAAGTTATTTTCTTCAATCAAAAGCTTGGAATCAATTAATTTCATGATACCATTTAAGAGATTAACAGCATTATTCGCGGACAAATATTCTTCAATTTTCTTTAATGTAGGTTCTACGAGATGTTTCATTTCAAGTATTTTGACCAATTGAATAAACGCCAAAAAATTTTCTTTATTTGCCGTAATTATATCCCAGTTGCCCGCATTGAGTGCGTCATGATAGAAATAAAAGAATAACTCTTCAAATGCGCTTGATATGGCTTGGCTTGATAGAAAAGAAGAGCCCACAATTTTCTCCAATGGAATTTCTTCTATCATTTGCGCTTCAGTTATAGTATCCGATTTTTGGAAAAATTTACGAAATTTCATGGAACGAACCATTATGCAAAATCTATTTACTATTCAATCAGTGAATCACAGAGAAAAAGATGCGTAATAATAATTTCCGTACTCACTTATGACCCAAGATAATTTTCCCGTTGGGAAGAATAATTTTCAAGTCGTATAGGGATTCATCTTTCATAAGTTCGGTGAAATCTTGAGCAAATGTATTTAGAAGGCTAGTGTTTTGGGGTACGAGAGCCATATTCTTGGAAATAAAATGATAAAAATGATAAATCGATATTTTATACTGTATTAAAATTTTGTAAGTTCTCACGTCGATAAAGTCATATATCATATTTGGCAGCTAAAATAGCTCAATTAAATAATGTTTTGACAATTGCTTTCTAAAAATTTTTGATTGACAATTATTTAATTTATGATTATTAATAAATTAATTAATTGATAATTGTTTAGCTTATAATTATTTGAATCGGGTCCAAAGTAATTTTGAGTCTGAGTTTTAGACACGAGGAATATTATCCTAAAGGACACATAATGGATCAGATGCAAGTGTTTTTGACGCTTGATACATGTACATATCGATATAATTATTCTTTGTTTTGGAATTTGGGTATAGGTCAAAGATCAAAGATCTTCTTGATAAGCCTAACGGTCAGGGATAATGTCCAATAATTTTGCAAGAAGTGTTTCGGTAAAGATCTACAAGCTATAATATATTAGAAGAATGA